ACTGATCAGCAGCGGCTGAATCAGGACTCCTGGGGCAGAGCAGCTGGGGTGCTGCCGGGTTGGTCCAGAAGCGCCAAGGAGCGGTGCTGCGGGACCAACCGGCAGCGCCCCACCTGCTCTACCACAGGCCCCGGGCTTTGCTCCATGTCTCCCTGGTCTGCTGGGGGTGGGGGGCACTAGCTGCGTCCCCCCCAGCAGAGCAGGGATACGCGGAGCAAAGCGGCGGAGGACCCGGGCTGGACCGCGGCGCTTCCAGATCAGCGGCGCGGGTCCGGCCCCGGGTCCTCCGTCGCTTTGCTCCCCATCTCCCTGGTCTGCTGGCTCCCCCAGCAGACCAGGGAGACGGGGAGCAGCTTTTCTCGCCCTGGAGGAGGCAGACGGCGGGACCAGGCGTCCCGCTGCTCCAGTCCTCCGGGGCGAGAAAATCCCCGTTCGTAACTGCGGATCCGACATAAGTCGGATCCGTGTAACTCGAGGACTGCCTGTAAATGAAAAAACCCATGGTTCCTTCACCCATGGGTCTGAGCTTGCAGAGGCAGGAGTCAAGGTGGCCCAATGTCTCTGTTACAATATCCTCATCAGTTCATTAGAGGAATTACATTTACAGCATGGGAATGATGTGCTGCATAAATTCGGTAAATCAGATCTGTTGGCATTTTTTAACTCCTTCAGTCTTATTGGCTTGGAATGCAAAGTTCTCAACAATTCATATGAGAGCGCAAATCCACATATGAACATAAACTTCAAAAGGTTGGAGGTCTTCCTATTTGGTTTTCTGACTCAGATCTGCTATATGCCACACTAAATCAGGATATGAGCATTTACAAAGTAAGGTTTGGATACAATGGAACTGGCATATACCTGATTCAATATTCATAGCAAATAACTCTAACCACATGCACTGCTTGAAGAGAATTCAAACTAAATACCAGGGAGGGAGGTGAATTTTCCAAAGTAAACACTTAAATTACATGCTCAAATCCAAATATTTGAGAGGTCAAATAAGACAGTGATGTGAGCAAATTGGGCTCACTTTGCTTAAATTAAAAGCCTCAAATTGCAAAGACAGTTTTAAATGGTACCTGCATACCTTCTTGGAGAAGACAAGCAACAAAATAAACTGGTTTCACTCAAGGCCATACATTAATAAATAAGCTACTTTGCATTAGCAACAGATTGAGTAGTTTTACAGCTGTGTACTTACCTTTGCAAATACTGTCTTAACATAGATGGGTAAATCTCCGTGAGGACTGCCATATCCTCCCACAATACTAAAGCCCAGACCATCCTGGCCTCGATCTAGAGTAATGGTCTTATACTGAGGAGACCTACAACCGGGAAAAGAAGTTAGTTATCCTATTTCTTTTATGAACTTCTGGTTCAATATGAGGACTGTTAAACAAAGACTCTTCACCTTTCAACACTAAGAAATAAACATTCACTTGCTGAGAACGTTACATAGATTAAGTATATTATGCTTAATATTTCAGTTCATGGTAACCATTGACCTCCTGCTTAACACCATAATCTGGTTACTTATTTACAGTTTTCTTCCATAACTCTTCTATTGTATTTTACCTTTTGTCGGAAGTTTATTCAGTCTGTCATTTAATTCACTGCAAAATTATTATTTGAATTGCCCAGTATTGGTGCTTATTAGCTATGTATACAATAAGTACTAATATCCTGGAGCTTAGAGAGCAATAAAACAAAACCCACATTATTTTAAAAATACCTTCCCTCCCTCCACCAAAACAGGTATTTTATTTATATACTAGAAGGTTTACCCAGCTTTGCTCAGGTCCTTAATTCAATTAATTTTTTGTTTTTGGAAAATAAAATGAAAATGTCCATGCTTCATTTAAATCATTGTTCTTGGGTGGGGCTGGGGACAAGTGGTTCAGTACACAGGCTGCCATGGGGAGAGATGACAACCCAGCCCTCTCTCACTGCAGCAGGTTGAAGCCAGGGGATAAGCACATCTCCAAGGCTGCTGGAGCTCCAGTGGGTACAGCTGGGGGATGGGTGCATGTCCCCCGGCTGGGACAAGTCCAGGATCTGATGGAGTAGCAGGGAAAGTGAGTTCCAAAGTCAACAGTCCCTTACCATTTAAGCCTGGGGGCAATTTCAGCTGATCTGATCTACCAAGGTATAACACAAGGAATGAAGCAGTATCTAGGGTGCTAAAATTCATATCATATCATAGCCCCGTAGGTCAAAACCAACATAGTGAATTGTAACCTGAAACAAACCAGGATACCCCATGTGGCCTGCTGAGCACAGTGATGCACTTCCTGTGACCATTGTGACTAAGGGTACGTCTAGACTACCGCGTTTTGTCGACGGAAGTTTTGTCGACAGATACTGTCGACAAAACTTCCGTTGACAAAGAGCGTCCAGACACATTGAGTTCTGTCGACGAAGCAAGGTGCTTTGTCGACGGAACTCCGTAGTCTGGACGCAATGTTACAGGCAATAACACCTTCTGTCGACAGAGTTCTGTCGACAGAAGGTGTTATGCCTCGTAAAATGAGGTATACCAGCGTCGACAAAACTGCTGAGTTCTGTCGACGTTATGTCGACAGAACTCAGCGGTAGTGTAGACGCTGGTATAGTTTTGTCGACAAAAGTCCACTTTTGTCAACAAAACTAGGTAGTCTAGACACACCCTAAGTTAGCAGGACTTTGTGCTCTTGCTGCAAGCAGTGTTCAGGTGCAATCCCAGCCAGTGCACTGTACAGTAACCTAATTAGAAAGGACCCATCAAGTGCAATATATACACTTACCCTAGATCATCCTGAAAGATGCTACTTGAGGTTAATCCTGCAAATGAAAGGCTGGAAGCAGGTGGATCCTGCTGCTGACCGGTTACGACACTTACGTCCCCTCCAGCCACCACCTGAGAGGACACATTGTAGACAGCCATGAAATGAGGAAGCTGATGCTCAGACAATTGAGCCCACAGTGATTACCACCATGGTATTCACAAAGGTGAAATGACAAATGAGGAAGCTGATGCTCAGACAATTGAGACCACAGTGATTACCACCATGGTATTTGCAAAGGTGAAATGATCAAAGCATGCATTAATTGTTGCAAAAGCAGTTCTTCTGTTCGGCTAAAATAAGAATGGTAACCTTTGAGCAAAACATGGAGAGGATCTTCAGAACTTGGCAGTTGTGTTACTCTTACTCAGTTTTGTTACTCAGCTTTTCAATCTCAAAATCAAAACTGCAGTGTGCTCTAACATCACTGCAGAGAAATTCCTTACCTGTAGTTCAACAGTGCCAGAAGCATTTTTCAGTAGGCTGACTGCTTGGGAGTGTGTCATGCCCTCAGTGGATGTTCCACAAATATTAACGATCCTATCCCCAACCTGCAGAAGAGAACATTTAAAGGACTAGCCACGAATAAAAAGCTGTCAAGGAGAGCCACGTGCCATCTTTGCAATAGAAAATAATGAAGAATACTGGACTTGAGTAACTGGATCTAGTAAGATTTTCAAAAAATATATAAAGTATAAAGAACATCTTTACCACTAGTCTATTCTTGATCTTGGTGACAAAGTCTTTGGTCTAGCTCTTCAACTGGTTTAAATGAATGCAGCTCTGGTGAATTCAGTAAACATTCAGCAATTTATGCTACCTGTGAATCTGACCCTTTATTTCCAGTGCAAGCCATAGTTTTCTAGTGATAACTGGTGAAGCAGCCCTGATTCTGTAGTAGTTATTGAGGTTTATACCCTTGACGATCTAAATCTACTACTGGATAATTCACATCAGTAGGCAATGGACCAACGTGAAATACTATAATCAGGTACCCCGGTGCAAATGAAGCCTGGAATAATCCAGTACAACACCCGGGGAAATATATAGGCCACATTCAGTGGTGAAGCAAACAGATCTTAAATCAGGCATAAATTACTACACTAATTGATACAAATTTTGCACTCAGCAGGTGTATAAAAGAAGAACAGCCTACACATTGAGATGGGTAAGCCGAATGTGACAAGGAAAAGCAACTAACAGAAGGAAATAAAACAGCGGTGAAAGTAACACATTTCTCAAAGAGACTGTTGAATTGCACACACGCATACACACACACTCAGGTGGGGCTCAATGCAGGGGCTGGGGAGATTGCAATACAAGAGAAATGTAAGTGAGGAGACTTAGGAAAGGGACTGAGGTATGTGGGTGCCTGGGAGAGCTCAGGGCAGAGAGTTGGGTTGGGGGGGGGGTATCTGTGCAGGAGTCAGAGCAGAGGGTGTGAGGCATGTATGGGGGGAGCTAGGGGTTGGAAGTGCAGCCATTGATCCCTGGGGCTGGGCTGGCTGCCCGATCCCTGGAGAATGGCGACCCTGTTGCCCAGCCTCCAGATCCGCAGGGCTGGTGGGGCTGACAACCATGCTGCCTGGCCACCCAAATTCTGGAGCTAAGACCTGGATATGCTAGCTCAGGCTCGGTCATCGCCTTCCTACCCGCAGCTGTCTAGCGCTTCGACCGGGGACTATATGGGGGTGGTGGTTTGACCTACTATGTGAAAGGAGGAAGTGACTGCAGTCACTGGGATGGCTGCTGACTGCTGTGCCAATAATCAGGGCAGATGTTGGGGTCTATTTAATCTGTACATAAGAACAGAAGAGCTGCTATACAGGATCATCTTGCCCAGTATTCTATCTCTGACAGCAGTCAACCCAGACCTCCAGGAAGATTGTATAGAACAGTGCAATTGTAAAATGATTCAGCCAACTTCCCCTCCTGGGTAGTCAGAGGTTAAGGTCTATCCAAAAATGAGGCTGCATTTTTTACCACCTTGGCTATTAATCATTAATAAACCTACTCTACAGACACTTATCTAGTATTTTTTAACCCAGTTTTAGCTTTGGAGATCACAATATATCATGGCAATGAGTTCCACAGGTTAGCTGTGTGTGGTATGAAAAAGTACTTCCTCATGTTTGTATTAAACCTGTTGCCTATTAATTGTATTGGTTGATCCCTGGTTTTTGTATTGTGTGAAAGGGTAAATAGCAATTCTCTATTCACTTTTTCTACCAAGTTCTTCACTTTGGTTTCTGAAATCCATGCTGGCTCCATGTTCTAAGGTTGCTTTCAGGTCTTCTCCCCAATTGCTAATGTTTGTGAAAAATATTCCAGCATCTCAAACTAATGTATTCTTGATATGAATGCCAGAAATTCCTGACATAGCTTGAAGTGCTTCTGAACACACCATGTAGCCCTACTTTGACAACAAACTGGAGTAATAAGCACTATCACATTAAGCTTTTTGTTAACCCATCTTCTCTCTCAGTAATTTAACTTACCCTGAGTTTCTGAGTTTGAGCTGCAACTCCATTTGGATGCATCATGGCAATAAATATAGGAACATCTCCAAGGGGACTTCCTACTCCTCCAGCAATGCTCACTCCTAGGGAATCTGCAGGGCCCTTATACAGAAAGGAGAGCAGATTAAGGTATGGTTTGAAAGAAGATACACACTTACATTCAGGCCTAGACTTTTATGAGTGACTAGTGATTTTAAGTACCCAGCTTAAGATATGTGAAAGGGTTCTGATTTTCAGACTACCCTCAAAGTCAGGTCCCTTTAGTGTCTTAAGACAGGCACCTTAAAATTAAAGAACCTAAACAGATAGTCACTTATGAAGAATTCAGCCCTAATCCCTCCAGATCAGCATATGGGGACGGGATCTGGCACTTTACTCCTCTTCACTTTCATTCCACCCTTGTGAATTCCTCAAAGAACATCAATTTGTCTTCATGTAGGGTCTTTCACGTTGTGAGTAGTTTCTCGTGGAGAAAACAAAAAGAAAAATAAAGCTGAAATGTAAAACTTGTGTAGATGATAGTAAGCAAGCAACAGAATACAGTAAGTGCAGAATGGAAGACAGTAATGGGAAAAGTAGCAATGAACTGAATTGTTGATTCACTACAACTGAGAATTATTGATGCTAGCCAAGATGACGTGAATCTCTGTTCCTTCCACCTTTACTGTAGGTTGTTTTGCAGGCATTTTTAGCTCAGCTCTGTGCCGCTGGCTATTCTGTCTTGATTTTTTACTATTCAGAGCCAAGGCTGGGAGTGTTGGCTTGGAGACCCACCCAAATCTTTTATAATAACGACACAAACAATAGGGAGCCATGTAACAATTTAACTGCCCCTGCATGCTGTTGATCTCTCAGGGGAAAAAGAAGAGATGAAAAAAGTATCTAAAAAAAAAAATTAACCAACAACAACAAAAAAAACCCCAAGTATCTCAACCTAGAGCTGTTTGTATTTAAGTTCTGCTAGAAACAAAATTTTAGACAGGACTCAAACCAGCAGCTATTCATCTGGTGTAAATTACTTGTGTGCGCATCAAATTTGCATGAAATTACCTTGACACTGCAACTTGATTTTTCCCTCTTCTTATGTTTTTATACTTATTCAATGTCACAGTCTTCTGTGGAGTAACTCCTGATTTTATAACCAGGCCTATCAATTGTGTACACCAGTGACAGACTGTACAGGAGCAAAACCCATTTGAGCTCAATTTATATGCACAAACTGGGTTTTGAACATGCAGAATCTATCAATGCATTCAAATAGACACCATGATTTTAAACTGCCCACTTACAGGTCTGTGCTATATAAGAAAAGGGTTTGTATATGTAAGGAATCAGGCTCTGTGTGATGATGTACATGCTTCTGTAACCCAGCAAAGACAGAAATAGGAAGGTGATAGAGATGTAGCCGTGTTAGTCTGGTGTAGCTGAAACAAAATACAGGACTATGTAGCACTTTAAAGACTAACAAGATGGTTTATTAGATGATGAGCTTTCGTGGGCCAGACCCACTTCCTCAGATCAAAAAAATGATCTGAGGAAGTGGGTCTGGCCCACGAAAGCTCATCATCTAATAAACCATCTTGTTAGTCTTTAAAGTGCTACATAGTCCTGTATTTTGTTTCAGAAATAGGAAGAATACTCCCCCTAGTGTACTGTTGCTGTAGGACACAAACAGCAGCAATTGCTTTAGCAAGTTCAAAACAAAGTTTCAGTACCAGTATGAAAAACTATTTACAGAAGTGACAGTGAAAATAAAGTAGCTAAGATAAATCCATACAATAAAAAAGCTTTGAATGTTAATTAAGCCAATTGAAAAAAATGGAATGGGGCAAATAAAAAAGCCGGATTGTGCTGATATGTGCATGTAAATCAGAAAGTCAAAGAACTGCACGGGGATAAGAGTGATGTGAAAAACTGATCTCACAATCTCTATACTGATGATTTTATTAAATATACAGTACAGTATAAAATTAATCATAAAAGTACATTGTAAACAAAAATAATTCAATGCGAAAAATGGGATTAAAAATATGGGGACTACATATTCCAAACTCTATTAAGATTTAACTCTCTGTGACTAAAACAAAAATATGACCTTTTAATTCTTCCTAATTCTTTGTCCCTTAAATTTTCAAAGTAGGTCAAAGGAATGTAGATGACTGACTCAGACTGGCATTATGGGGATCTGTGAAGTATATTCCCACAGCAGCGAAAAAAGCTAGGGGCTAGATGTAAAACTGCCATCAGTGTGTTTATTCTATTAAATGGATTAACTAACAAAATTAGATATTTGAAACCTAAAATATCTTTCACAAGTCTCAGGTCATAGCACTGCCTCTCTCCAAAAGGCAAAAATCCAGGGCCAGATCTTCACAGGGTAAAAACACACTAATTTATACCTGCTGAGGTTCCATTTCCCAGTACTTCTTTACAGTATGACTTACCTTTTTAATCTCAACCGTTCTTAATCCCTGTATTTCAGATGCTACTGTGGAATGATAAAAATAAAAATATAAAAGGTTGGGTGGGATTTTAAAGGAAACTCTCCATTATAGCCACAAAAATTATTATAATGTTTTTAGCTTTTACTCTGTTAATTATAGTAGCAGGCCTGGATATCTGCTCCATTACATTATCAAGACTAAACTACTTCTGCAATGGGAGGGAAAACATTAATTTTACACAAAATTTTAAAAGATACCCAGTCCTCCATTTTCTGAATAATACATATATTCTAGAATAAGACGGTTGGATTTATTATTCTATTCAATTAGAGCAAACAACAAGAAAGAGTCTGGGCAATTAACGACTTTCTTGTAATTTAATGACGAGAACACTGTTACTTATCTTTCTTAATTTAACTATACAAAATATGCAACTGTCTACCAATTTACAGGTAGGGTACATAAGCTAGACCAGTTTAATAGAAGAGATACTTCAATTTGATGAATCTCTAGTTTAACAAACTTGCATTCTTACAGTATAAGGTGTGGCAAACTGCAACACTTACGCTTATAAACATTATAAAATGAAACATGTTTTTAAAATAATTGCCCTATCAACATTTTAGTCTTGAATTAACAAGGAATTGCTTCTATGCCTACTGTACAAAGCAATATCTAACATGTCAGACAAACAAAAGATACCTCGGCTACTGATTCGTAGACTGGGTAATGGAGAAAAATTTTTAGCTACAGAGTATTAAAGATGCCAAATGAATCTTACTGGCATTTTTCTTCAGACCACTTTCAAAGCCTTCAGGTGGGTTGGACCCGCAAACAGGGAAACTGAATGATGACAGGCTGCCACTTCCTTCACTGACCTAAAATATAGCATCACACTGGGATTATACCATTGATTTAAAACTTCTACTTTGCCAGAAAATAAAGTTATGAGCGCCAGTGCTCATAATTTTACTCCTCTCATGTGCCTAGTGAGAAATTATGTACCATGAGACCAACCATAACTCCTCTATATGCTTAGAACTGTGGTCCCCATCACGGTGCCCACGGATGCCATGGCACCCGCGGGGGCATTTGTCTGCGCCCGCCAAGTGCTCAGGGCTGGTCTGGCCCCGGGCACGTGGCGCATGCGCAGTGCCGGAGCTGGCCCCGGGCGCGTGGCGCACAGTGAGCGCTGGCCCCGGGGGCGCCGCGGATTCACCCCCCGCGGCGCATGGGGGGGGGAGAAAGCGCTAGCGCCGGCCCCGGGCGCGCGGCGCTTGGGGGAGGGGGAGGGAGAGCGCGCCAGCACCGGCCCCGGGCGCGCGGCGCTTGAGGGGAGAGCGCCGGTCCCTGGAATGCGGGTA